CAAGCATGTACAGGTGTCAGGTATGTAGTGTTCTTGCACACGCCAGTCGCCGATGAGTTGTTTAACTGTACGAGTCGTGAAAATGTCAAATAACTAATATTTCATTCCAAATATTTTCATTGTAGGTGCACGATAACGGTGTACAAAAATTAGACAAAAAATGACTACCTAATTAAAATCAATAAAGATGACAAATCCATATGATTATATGAACTTCACAAGTATTCATTTTATTAATTTTGGTTGTTAAATATATAAAAATTAAAAGGAATAAAATACTTTTAAAATTAATGGATATATTCTTATTATTTTAAAATTTGCTCATTAATATTTTACATAATGCATATTTTGAGTGCATAATTTAAAAATGTAAGGGCATTTAAATGCACATTTTCGAACTTTTTAGTGCATATTTTGCCAATTTTTAGTGCATGAATGCATGCTTATTTGTGCTTTTTTTAGTGCATGAACTTACGAGCCCTGCATATTTTATATATTTAAAAATGTTTTCCTAAGTACTTATGGCCAGTTACTTTCCATTAGCATCAGTATCAAGAAGAATGGACTTTATTATATAGATAACTAATTTATTGATTTTTATTTTATTTTTGACTAAACAAATTTACATGAAATATTAAATTTTTTTTTATTAATACAGTATATATTTACATTTATTTGAATTATATTGTTCTAAGTATTGAAGTTTAACTTTAAAACTTTAAGGTTAAACTAAACCATCCCCAAAAAGAAATCCTGGGCACGCCCCTGTGTATACTTAAGTAATGTATTTTAATGTGAGTAGAGCAGCCACAGCTCAACAAAATAAAATTGCCACAACTATTTTAACATGATTTTCTTGTCCAGTAAATTAAATTTTGTTAAAATTATTGCTAGTTCAAGGCAACGTGGTCCACTCTCTCAATTATTCAAATCAATATTTCCATTAGTTAAATTTATTCATTTAAGGGCTTTTAAAATCACCCTGACTTAAACTAGAAGTAGAAGATAGCAAAACACTGGAAATCATATATAAGTAGATCATCATTTTTTTTTTCAGAATTTGTATTTATTTGTGTTTTTTAATAAATCTTTAGCTTTGGCGGCAGGAGCCATAAGCTTCATCAATTCAATAAATTTTTAGGCCAAGACATTTATACCGAGGCTTCCAAAGGTGAACAAGGATCAATGAGTAGGAACAGAAATTATAATCGACAAAGAAATCATAACACATCAACTTCAGAAGGAATGATAAATTTATACTGCCGAAGCCATTGCCATAATAGTAGCACTTAAACTTATCGAAAATTATCTACAGTTCACACCAAAACTAATCATAAACATCATAAACCAAGCCAACAATTTAAAAATCAAAACAAGAATGTACAAGAATTTATTTGAACACCGGGGTATTGCAGAATATACGGAAACGATTTAGCCAAACAACGACCAACAAATGTCAAATATAGCAGTATCCGAAGCCCCAAAATAAAAATACAGTGCAATATTAGACACCCAAAATAAAATTAATCACACAAAATATTTGGAAAAATCACTGGTCAAACCAAAATACTAAATTACGAGAAATTATGCAAAGCATAAATCGCTGGAATTCATTTCATGCGGATTGACCCTCACAATAAAACATCTAACGACAGAATGCAGATCAAATTAAGAAGAAAGAAAAAAACATAATATATCAATGAGGCCTATATGAAATAATTGGGACCCGACTGTCATGTTATTCTTTAGGAGCATCAGAATGAAAAAAGTACGTTAATCTGATAATATTGGTAGGAATATAAACATTAAAATATTACATGTTAATGAAAATAAAACCATACAAATTCTAAATAGCTGGGAAGCCTGGGAACATAAAAGTACCTACCTATCCTGCAGGTTTCCTCAATATTCCTGCAATAGAAATAGTTAGTAACAGTATAATTATTGATAATATTTAAGTACTTCAAAACAATCAAAATATAATAGAAAAGGCTTTTATTTTTTAGGTGTGCCCAAGTTCCCTGTGTGGCTGTGCATCCACAAGTTATATACGATGTACATAATATCTATATAAAACCTATTTGCTAATCAAATTTCAACTGTCTATGAATTAATTTTAATTCGAAATCTCTTCACTTGCATTGCCTACAATATTTGAACTGTACCTAACTAATTTTGTATCAGTCGTATTTATCGACAAAATATACCTCTATACCTATATACCTAGCCCTATGCAATTTTATATTTATACCTAGGTACCTTTAATTCTTTAAACTATATGTATATGGCATATAAACTAATAAACATGTGTATTAAATATTACTATTTTTGATTTGAAAGCATATTTAGAAACTAGCGAGGCTGCAAGTATATTTTTGTGTGGAACTAGCACGAACATTTTCGAGTAGGACACGCAAAATATATAATATAGGTTAAACATATTTTATTAACCGTTGTTTTTAATATAATGACTGGAATTTATAAGATAATGAGCTTAAATAACACGTTGATATTAAAACGATGATACTTCAACTCTATTAAAAGTGTTAGGTGGCCAAACGTAGATTAGATGTTTTTCTGTTGTTTATAAGTACGGTCTAATTACTTATAGTCGTACCGAATATAGTGTACGAATACGGAGACATAACTTCATTATTACAGTAGGTACTAAATACACTATTACTTAAACTGTGTATTTTAGACGACAAGCTATAATACAACTCACGGTGTTAGGTACGTATATTATTTGCTCGACATATTATGTGATATCACTTTCGTAATTGATCTACTTAATTACACATAATATGATCTTTAACTGTTTAATAGGCGATCGGCCATTATAGACACGTAATTATAATGCAGTATAAATTCCACCGTTTAAAAGATCTTTACGATCAATACTACGACACATTATGTCGTATATTTGATATAATAGGTATCTAATGACACCGGATGTCATATCTTCTACTGCAGTACCTACAATGATTTATATATTCAAAACTTAGAATTTAAATACAAAAATATGGGTTTAATAATTAATTACCACCAATTATAATTTTAAAAAACATTAGTTAAACCTAGTGAGCTGTTTATAAGACATGCATTTAGTGTTCAACAAAGTAAATAACATAATATTTATACAGTGTTTGTCAAATATATTTTAAATGCTATATTTCATAAAGCCATATTATAGGGTTTAATCACATTAATCAAAAGGTATATTAGAATACCAAATTAGGGATGATAATGATATTGATTGATCTTTATACTTTAAAGCCGTTTAAGTTTAAATAATTATTTTTTAATGATGAAATTATTTTACTAGATTAGTATATACCTATGTGGGCACCAGCAACATAAATTCATAAGAAAAGGTAAGAATAATAAAGACTGAGAAATGTGAATAGATGTGTTCTCATGTAGTTGGCTATTTACTTTGAAGTAATAAAAGATATATTGATTTAGGTGAAAATTCGTTTTATATCATGACGTGAATAAACAACAATTCCGTATACCCACAAAAAGTGCTAAACGCACTTAAAGAAGTTTTCTCTTTAAAAACTTTTATTTTAATGTTTCAGGTTTCAGGACATTTTTTTTATTAGGTGTTTAGCTAATTTGCATTAGCGTTGCATAGTAAACAAATTGTAATGTTCATCTCTGCTAATAATAATATAGGTACTATCTGTGTAATAATACACAATTCTAACATCTCCATACCATATGCTGTTTTTTTTTGTTGGTTAAATTCAGAGTGAAGCTATGAATGTATTTATTTTACAATGATTATTGTTTTTTTGTGACTGTGTATAAAGGAAACCCGTGAATTCTTATACGCTTTTGACAAAATCGATTTTGGTTTTTAGTGTATATAACACTATATAAAATTACCCTAGAGACATGACATTTTCACAAAATATTTTTACTAGCTTTTTTTATACATATTCAAATTATTTTCTCTCTTTTTGAGCTATTTATGGGCATAAGAAAATTTTGATTCTTATAAGTTTTTTTTAGGTATTGTCATTACTCCTTTTATAGTACTATTTATACTCAATGGTATTGTCGATAAAAAAATTTTCACTCCATCAAAAATTTGAAAATTGTATTCAATGTTTCTCATGATAATAAATTCTAGATCCTCAATATTTCATTCTTTATATTTTTGTAAAACAATTTTTAAAGCAAAGGCTCCCTCAAAAATATAAATCGGGAAGGTTGCCAAAGTCCAAAATCCCGGATAATACAGCACATAATATTATTTTTTTTTTTTTACAAGTGATAAAAGAATTAATATTAACAGTCTTAATCATCCTAAGTTAATATAAGGTATTTATAATGATTACTAAAATATATTAGATTAGGTATCATATTATCGTATTAAAGCAATATTTATATTGTACATCAATAATTATATATCTATATTCCCTATCGTATTTATAAATGCAATTTTAGTGTAAATTTCTACCTAACATTTTATATTAATTTCAAATATTTTTAATATAGGTACTTGATACATTGATACTCATATAATAGTGGGCACTTACTCATTATAATGAAAATATTAATGAAACAAATTATTCTTATTAGAAAGCATTATATTTAATATTATATTAATTTTTATATTTAAATATGTTAGGTAAATTATGTGGATGCTTAAAATTAATGTTTATAATTGTTATAATCATCAAAATCTGAAGTCATGCCGACTCAAACTAATTTATCGGGCGCAAGAAATTATTAATAACACATAACATTTTAGTGGTATTTTGTTAATAAATGTTCTTATATTATAAATTATATTACAAACTATTATTATGTACAGCCGTGTAGGTATTGTCCAGTTGCAATTTTCAAATGTGTTTATTTCTTATATATAATAAACAATATAATATCAGACATTGTGTTATACTATTATATATATAAATATTAACGGTACAACTGTATAAGTGTAGTGGTACGTAAAGATAAAATAAAACTCGTCCTCGACGTGCACTTACCTATAACGTGTGGACGGTGTAGGGTAGCTGGTGAGGCGGTCAATCGCAACAGTCATCGTCGTCGTCTCCGGTCAATGGTATCACACACGCACATACATATATATACATGTATAATGTATTAATAATATTATATTGTATTATATGATGTTATATCGATGATAAATAAATAACCGTTCGTCGGACGCGCCCGTTGATCTCGGACGGAACACCGATGTATTTTATTATTTTGTTTTTTTTTAATTTTTCACTACACAAGAGACATATAATATATTATATTGCGCGTATACCGTAAAAAATATTATACATATATTATTATATTAATATAACTGGACACGACTGCGACCGTCGACGCCGATCTATCTAACGTTTACGCTCCGACTGACACAACCGGTCCGCGCCACAGACGCACCGCGTTTATAGATTTTTCATCTTGTATTTTGTATTATATTTTTTTTTCTTAAATTAATCGTTTTTTACCATTTCCCTAGACGGCCGAAGCGCACTCGTGCGGCAGAGAAGGAGAACATAACTCTGCAGGGGGAAACGGTCCGTAGTGCACCCGGTGAAGAGGGACATATGTAATGAGTAATGACATATAGGTTGACATATATATTAAGTACAACATAGGTACACTATAAATTATAATATTATTATTGTGTACCTATACATCTAGGAAAACAATTAAGGAAGAAATGAAGATAAAATGTTATACACATAGGTACAAAATATTATGTTAATTTTATAATTTTTTCCTTACATAACATTTGTTTTAAGATATTGAATTTGAAAGTAATTAAAAAAAAAATATCGCTCTTTTTTACATTGTAAGTTATAGGTACCAAAAGATCAGAAAAAAATTAATTTAAGTAGCAACAATATAGAATTATTTGAAAAAACTTCTGTTTTTTTACCAGTTTAATTTTTATGCTGAATATGAAGGAACAATCCGATTTTTCCATCGTCATTTATTTTAGGGTTACTTATACCAAAAAAAAAAAAACACTGGAAAATAATTAATTTTTAAATATAGGTATATTTTTTAAATTATTAATTGTAATATTGTGTATTAATTAATAACTTATAAGTGCATGAAAAAAACATTTTGAAGGGTGTTAGATATAGGCAGAAATCGGGTTGAGGGTTAACCCCCGAGAAATAACAGAAGCCCCTGCCCCCCCCCCCAAAAAAAAAAAAATTGGAACTTTATTTGAAATGTTACTATTACTGTTATTTGTTTCAATCCATTTAATTATTCATAAATATACTATATTATTTAAAAATTGTAAAAGATTTAGCCAGCAAATGGCGCTAAAAATTCTTAAAAATCTAAATAGGTAGGTAGGTACTAGCTATAATGTCCATACTCTATAGTTGCGACCATGGGCATAGAATAATATGGTTGTGACTTGTGAGTTGGGACAAGAATGGCTATATAATATTTATATAATTCTGTAATGATTTATGATAATATAAGGAAAATTACAAACTACGTAGATTACGGACTACGGAAATCGAGTGAGTTATGTTTTCGACCAATAGTCAGTGTTGTATTGTTTTGTAATTTTGTATCATTTCTTATATCTATCATGCATAATTGATGATCTATAAACATTATTAATATTAAAACTATTAACTATAGGTTAAATAAACAAGTGTATAATGTACTCGGTGGCGTACAAATATGAGAGTGAAGGGTTTTCGGAATAAACAAGAATAACAATATTGGATATGATAAGAAAAATTTCGTCCGCAATTCGGATTAGACCAGCGGTTCCCAACCGTGGGGAATTCCACTCCAGGGGGAAATTTAGAGTCTGGTCGGGGGGAATATAGCGATGAAGGAATTACAAAAATAATTATTTTATTTTAAAATGTGTAAAATTAAAATCACTATATTAGTTATCAGATTATCGGACATCCAGCAATTATAATATATTAGGTATAACGATAGACCGAGATATTATTTTTACATTATGTTAATATTTTTGTTTTCGATTTTTTTTTCTTATACTTAATATTATTACTTCGTACGTTGATTTATAATACAATTTTAAAAATGATGAAAATAATAAAAGTAAATAGTTGTATATTGTAATAATTACAAGGTTAGGTTAGGTTATAATTATTGTATGTTTTATTTGTACGGCTCACAAAAAAAAAAAAAATTCGCCTAAGATAGCTTTCACCGAATGTTTATTCTAGCATTTTTTGCATTTTTTAGGTACCTACACAATAAAATGTTCAAAATATTTTTACATTTTATGTGCTTAAGAAAATTTCTATTTTTATTAGTTTTTTTTTTTAAATTTATTGTTCACACAATATTTTCACTATGTCAAAAAACTTGAAAAAGTATATAATATTAACCACGAACTACTACATAGGACTGGACACTGTATATAATAAGGTGGCTACAGAGTTGTACGGCGGTCGTACGTTCGCTACGTAACTGCACTCTAGTGTCTAGTAGCGATTTTTTTATACTGTGCTGTTGAAAATTCTTTTATGTGATAAGTCGTAGTGACTAGTGATAACAGAACAATGAATAACCATCACATATTCAAAAATTAAAATCAGTACTCAAACTTATTATATTTTATATTTTAATTAATAAAGTAGTAAATATTTATGTAATAAATGCACATTACTACCTACGTTGCTACCAATAATTTAGAAAGTTTTTTTTTTTTTGCATGGTTTTTTACTTGCTTTTGGTTGGATATACGTGAATATTGTCTCATTCGCATAGTAACATAATAGGTAATTATAAATAAAAAAATTTCATTTTTGTGATTGGTACATGGAAATGCAAGCAAATATTGGTTGTTTTCTATGAAAAAATCAACAGTTTCTTGAAAAACGTCATAGCTATCACAAAATTGCTCAAATGCCTCCTCTAAACCTATTATAATCTCAAATATTTTCCTATTGGGAAAAATTAATCCTCCTCTTGATTTTATATTGGTTATTGATGCCTCAGATATTGATCTGTCCCCTAAAATACAAATCAGTAAGTTTTCATTGTTTTTTAATAGTTATTATTTTTACCTTCTTTAAATGCTGATAAACAAATATCACAAGTAGTTCGTTTTATAATTTGTCGAAGTAAATAACCACATATATAATATGTAATTGAGTCTCTTGTTGATGCTATATGATAGTTATGTTCAGCAAAAATGTCATCTACTTCCCAACGTTCTTCTTTTATTAAAGAATCCAATCGACTTTTTAGATGTTTAATTTTATCTTCACGTATAGATTCTTTAGAAGCAAAAATGTCATTGAGATCAGATATAGTTATTTTGGGTGAGTCTGAGGTTTTCAATATTGTACAGTTCCCAGTCTTAGGAGGTTTGAGAATAGAATAAGTTGAAAGCATATGATATACTTGTAGGAACGTTGGACAAGAGGGATGATCATTGGGGCCAGTAGCCTGGCGGACGGTTCCAAAAAATTGCTAAAATAAAAAATATCACTTTCTAAATGTAGGTATTATACTTGCCACTTGGATATTGACTATTGTACATAACTTACCTCAATTTTGTCCTGATTACATTTATTAGTAAGCACATATGAAAAATTACAATTATTTAATAAATACATTGATAGATCAATAGTTGATTGTATTGTAACTCTAAGACCATCTGCTGTTGTCGTAGTTAAAAATTGATCTTTTGTAATTTTTTTGTTAATTAAATTTTGCTCCCAAATATATAACGGATAGATTCATCCTTAGGTATAGAAGATAAAGTAGCATTTTCATTATTACTTTTATTTACTCTACTGTCACATATTAATACAGAACATAAGCGACCCATATTAAATAATTTGATGTAAAACAATATAAATAAGATACAACAGACTCATTACCAGTGATTAAATTGGAGGGGGGCACGGGGGGACGAAATATATTTATGTTAATATTTTTATTTTTTATCAGTCTATTTATAAATATTATAATATAATTTGTTCATAAAAGTTAAATACGAAATGTAGTAATTTAGTACATCACTAGATAGCATCACAGTCGCAAACGTACGTAACCGTACAACTTTGTGACCGGTGTCCCACCCTCCTCCTGCCATAAGAGTCCAGTCCTATGTAGTAGTTCGTGATATTAACTATGGTCGCAAGATATTTAAGCCATAGGTGGCGCTGCGTACGCTAGGATTGCCACTTTAACCCGCGTAGTATAGGGATTATTCTTGATTTTTGCGTTTTTTATAAAATATATTTATTATTTTGGACCATGACCCCGTAATTATGATTTAGCTATAAGAATGTAGAATTCATAAATGTATAAATGTGTATCGACGTATCGTACTACCTTAAATCGTGGTTTCCAATGATTGGAAAAACTAAAGTGATAAAGATTAATGAACGTTTTTTTTTATCAATATTGTTGTGTTTTTGTGATTGTTAAACAGACCAAGATACGATAAAACTATACATTTTACAACTTTACTTACAGGACACAAGAAGTATATTAATACATTTATATTTTAGTTCCACTCTTTATGTGAAACAAGACCTCACTGCCAAAGTAAAAGTTTCTAAAAGTTTTTACAAATCATTCAATATGTCTTATATGTTAGCGCATTTATTTAACGGCTGGCAAGTCGATCAGGCAATTCTCTCGGAGGAAGATAGAGTGGTTGTAAGTAGAATATTTTACCAAAATTTAGATTTAATTAGTGCACTAGAATAGTTAACCATATATTTAATATATTTGATAAATTATAATTTACAGGTTATTCGTTTTGGTCACGATTGGGATCCTACATGTATGAAAATGGATGAAGTTTTGTATAATATAGCAGAAAAAGTGAAAAACTTTGCTGTTATATACTTAGTAGACATCACCAAAGTACCAGATTTTAACAAAATGTAATTAAATAAATAATTTTATATCTTATATAGTTTTATGCTCTTATTACAATCATTGGTTATTTATTTAGGTATGAATTGTACGATCCATGCACAGTTATGTTTTTCTTCCGTAACAAACATATTATGATTGATTTGGGTACCGGAAATAACAATAAAATTAATTGGGCACTTGAAGACAAACAAGAAATGATTGATATTGTTGAAACAGTATATAGAGGGGCCAGAAAAGGACGTGGTTTAGTTGTTTCTCCTAAAGATTACTCTACAAAATACCGTTACTAAATAGTTAGTGTAATATACTACTTAATATCCTATACTATTCATCTTAAATAAATGTAATGTATTATGTATTGTGTGTGTGTGTGTGTATGTATATATATATATATTTTAATTTAAGTATTGTTTTAATAATAATATTTAATACACTTCTGTAAAGACAAATTAAATTTTTTTGACTACTGTAGAAGTGAAAATAATATAAACAATTTAAAATTATTTAACTTAAATGCTTCCTATTTTATAGTTCTGCATTTTATTTACAATTTGAAGTACATATCTTGTATAGTGTAATACTTGTTGTATTGTGGTTTTGTTATATGTTTAAAAGTTGTATGAAAGAATTCTGAATTCAAAATATTTTGCAAATAATTTTCTATCAGAATACTCGTAATTAATCCTGTATAAATATATTAATATTCCAATTATAAATATATATTTTAATCCGTGAAAATTGAATGGAATTATACTAGGTTGGATACCACCATGATATTGTTTGTGATAAATTTATGATTTTTGACTACATGGTGCCCAGCAAATCCAATTTCTATACAATACCGCAATACTTATACTTATGTATTTAGTAATACTCTGCGTTATTAATGTTTTAACGCATGGTCACAGAACATAGTATATAATGGATAGGCATTGTGTACATCAAAGATGAAAAAGTTGGTAACAGAATACTGAGCACTATAGAAAAATATTTTATTTTGTAGTTATGTCAGTTAGGAGCTTGTGCTAGTAGTTAAGAGTAAGTTTTAAAAATTAAATATTACTAAGTAATTTAGAATAAAAGATTAATGGTAATCATGATTTAAGATAATATCTTAATTTGTGATGGTAATGTAACTTATATTTATATATATTGTTCTGTGCTTATAATGGTGACCCGCAGAATAAAGTTACAGACTATTTATTATAAATACTTATTTCTAATCAATGATATTACATAATAGTATAATACATTATCGATGGTCACCATCATAGACCTGGTGTATAGGTCACCATTTCACCACAGAATAATTCAGTGGCATCATTTTGAGGGTGGCAAAGTGAGCATTTTACTGTCGAATTTTTAAAAGCAGCTTGATGGGCCATTGTCTGCTTCATGCTTGTTTCCGTTTAAATATTATATTTTACTATCCCAAAAACATGCCTATTTTTATAATATTATATCACTTAGATCACTTTGATAACAAGGTTTTTTAATTTACTCAATTGGGCTGGTTAAAATGTTTGACACCCTTAATTAAAAACTGAAATGCCGCCACTGGAAAAGATTAAAATATTTCAATTATTTCAGCTATTCTGTGGTTTCACTATTGTTCTATGCTATTGACTACTTAGTGCATTGACCATTTATTTATATTTATTTACTAGCTGAATCACCCGGCGTTGCCCGGAAAAACTCCTTTTAGGTGTAAAACACTGTGGAAGCAAAGTATATTATATTGGTATAATTGGTATATTAAGTACATATTGGTGTAGGCGTGATGCATGAGAATATTTTTATCGTTAAACTTCTCAGACCTTATAAGAATTATTATCGTTGACCTTCGGACAAAAAGGATAGGTTGCTGGTAGCTGGAAACCCGCGGGCCGCCATGAGCCCGTGCACAATACGTATTGGCGATGAATAATAATTATAATTGTTAATTACTCGGGTGTTACCAATTTGCGCTAAAAAAATGAATTCGTTTTGAGTATAGCCCATTTGCGCCAAAATAAAAAAGGTATGTTTTTTCCGACAGTCCACTTGCTCCAAATTTACCTGTTATAATTATAATAAGGTAATATATTTTTTATGTGCAATTTTACTTAAATCATAATTAATTATTTTTAAAATAATAATCAATAATAGCTGTATAATACACATTTTTTTGAAACAATAATCAGAATAAATACAAATTGTTTTTAAAAACTATAGGTAATTATTAATTATTACGAACTGTTATAATTTATAACAAATAAGTAATAATAGTACTTACATATTTTTTACTATAAACTACAGACGTCTTTAAAATATAAGAATTAACCAAGTCATTAATTTAAAATGTTTAAGTAGGTAAATTTGGCGCAAATTGGCTGTCTGAAAAAACATACCTTTTTTATTTTGGCGCAAATGGGCTGTATCCAAAACGAATTAATTTTTTTGGTGCAAATGGGCAATGCCCAATAACTCCCCTAAAACGCAACATTTTTGAAAATCTTTCTTAATGTACGGTGAAAATATGAGAAAAACTCTATTCCCAATTTCAAGTTCGTATGTAGCGTAGTTTTTGAGTTACAGTGATCACTGATCAGTGACTATTTGGATTTTATATATTGTATAGATACCATTTATAGGTCAATGACTTAGTGTTATCAATTATCACCGTATTTGTTTTATCAGTCTAAAATTCGTGTTATCATAGAAACACAGAATAATTTTGTGATAGAACAGTAATAATTAGTAACAACTACAACTTACAAGCAAGTTTGTGCTTTGCCACAAGTTACAACTTATTCAGCATTAATACTTAATGGTTAATATTATTATAGCTTTAAACTCGATGTTTTATAAACTATTCTATAATAATTACAGTAATTGATAATTGTCAAACAATGATGACAGATGTGCTAGTTTAATGACTTACTTTTTTCACAAAAAGAATACATAGGTTATCATTTAAATGTTTGTATTAAATATATTAATTTCTTAATTGATTAATTATAATTTAAAAATAGTACAATTATAACTCCAGTGCACCTTCAACATTGTAACATATGTTAAAATAAATAATAATCAACTATTTTTTTTCAATACCATTTTTAGCAATCAATCATTTAACTTTCAAAAATGGATGTAAGTGTTCTTAGAATCTGATGTACTCACATAATTTTCTAGTTGATATTTTTAAACTATGCTACTGAACTGTAGTAGTAATACTTGATATATTGTATGTTAATGAAATTACGTAGAGTACTGCTCTGGAACGTAAATTGAATAGCAAAACAGCAGCTCTCACAGTATTAAGTGAAGAATTAGAGAAATGTCGAATAGAACGGGATCATTTGAAAATCATTTTAGAAAATAAAATGTTACATAGTACATACAATAGAGTAATATAATCAATCTTGATAGATAGGGTTTCTACTAAAATTATATTTATGCATATATTTAGAATTACCAATTGAATTACGACAAACTCGTGAATCAACTTAGAGAAGAAAATAAGATACTGAGATTGGAAGCAGAAGATATACGTCAAAAATTACAAGATGCTCAAGGTGACAACCAAGTAAGACATTTTAATTTATTAGTCATAACCAAATAACTAATAAGTATATTGAAAGCTTCAATTATTTGGAGCAGACAGTAAAACTTCTTTCGATTTATTACTTAAAGGTAGACGTTATTTAATTACAAATTTCCAAACAAATCTAACATCCGTTATAAATGCATCTATTCAATATTTTGATGTTTGCTTTTTACCTAACTGAAAATTAGGAATTATTAGTACAACTGTTCATGGTCTTAAAACTTAAATCAGAATTTTATAAATACATATTATATTTGTCAGTTATATTAATCTATTTTCCATATTGTTGATCTCAGTATAAGATAAAATAATATATGTATATGAATCTAGGGAAAAATGTATTTGTTTACTATTTGTAATTTATTTTTAACGAGAAAACATAAATAGGAGAATCCCTGCTGAATTGCTCTCTTCAGTTTTGAATGTACATGAAGTTATGTCGTAGACCTATAAAGAATATTAATAAGTCCATGAGTGGCATGAGTTATGTTAAATAATTAGTAGTAATTAGCAGTAATTGTTAGACTAACAATTAAACTTAAATAGAATCTCATATTAACAAAATTAGTTGATCATTCCCATAAAACTATATGATTACTTATAGAAAATAAGCGATTACATGGTTTTAAGTGTGGACAAAATTAAAATATAATATTTAGAGAAACTTCCATTGAAAAAATATTTAAAATTAAATAACAGAGAATTTGTTGATTAGTTTTTGTATTTATAATACTTACTAGTATATAATGTTTTACAATAATTTAAAAAAAAATAATAATAATAAATTTTTAACAGGTTTTAAGAACTGGCGGTTTTGTCAAGGATTGTATAAATACAATATTAACAAGCTCTGATAGTAAAGAAGAATTAGTAAAAAATTTAGAAATCATCCATTCAAAAGTATGTGTTATCGTTATGTAAATATAAAATTGTTAAATACATTTTTATAAAATTTGTTTGTGTTAATTTTTAGTATCAGCAATTAAAGCTTGATTTTGGTTTATTACTGGATGATAAACAAGAATTGATTACCGAACGAGATGGATTTAGGAATAAAATACGACGGTTAAATTATCAATTAGCAGCTTCTTTAAATGCTAATAAGAATCAACGTGTATTAGATATTGATAGTTTGTTATTAGAAAACAAGTATGTACTTCAATACAAATAGTAAATATACTTAGAATAAATTTAAAAAATATCAATTGCACGATATTTAGGTATTTAAATGAAAGTCTGCAGTTAGAGATCGCCGAAAAGGAAATGATAAGGAAAACAAATTCACTATACCAGGTTTATGTCCTTTACAGCTTCTTACGGTACAATTTTTGAATGTAGACTGTTTTTATTGTACAGTTGATGAGTTGATCATGGATTGTTAAAATATATGATTCATTCATGTAGTTTGGGTTGTTTTTTGTATCATATTGTTGTGTTATTGTCATGCACTTTTTTATTTAAAAACTATTCTTATATTATTGTTACAGATTAATTTATGTACTAAAATATTATTTTATAAAAAAACATTTTGTTTTTCAACTTAAAGAAATAATTTTTATACACATTTTATGATGGTGTGATGAATATAAGGAGCAAATTTTATCTTGTAGTAAATTCAAAAAAATATTTTGATTTAGTTATACTTAGTAATTTAAACAAATTTTTAACATAAGTTTTTTTTAATAATCAGAGAAATTTAAACTTTTTGAAAAAATGTACTACAATATGTTTTTCAAGCTATTTATATTATATATATTTAAAAAATGGTGAAGTACATGGTTATTTATACTGAATAAATTTCATGCTGGAATAAAAACCGAAAATAACAGGCAAGCAAATTTTTACACAATATAATTTCATTTATAGCTGTCATTATGTATAATGCCTTTTATTAAAAAGTTAAATTTTTTTTTTAGACTTGATTTAACGTTTGGCTTATAAGAGGCTTAGATTTGTTGTCTAACTCGCATGTCAATATTTGGTATTTTTGTATTCTTCAGAGTTCTTTGTCAACTGTTTTCTTTGTAAATTACTTACTATAGAATAACCACAGTTTTACAATTAAAAGATAAAATTGTTAACTGTGATGTACTGTTTATTTTTTAATAACTTACTAAAATCGTCTTATTCTGTATAATTAACTAAAAAATATATTATATTTTGTGCTAAAAATTAATAATAACACTTCTACTATATTTATAACAAAAATGTGTATTAAATCTTTATTTACTATTCATTTTTTACTCACAAATTACAAATGGATAGGGATCCTATAAGATTTTTTTTATAAATAAATGTATAGTTCATATTTTAATTTTAATTTGTGATTAAAATGTATTTATTTAACAAAATATTATTATTTTAGAGTACATCAAAAACTAATGAAGATTCATCTTTAGTGTCTGCTAATAATTCAATAACCCGTAAAGTAATAGCTTGCAAACAGAGTAAGTTGCATTATGTCATACTAGTATTTATATCAACAAATTTTAATTTTAGTTCAATTTAGTGCAACAAATTTTGGAAACTGGGAATCTTCAAGCTTTGTTTTCAAACAACACAACCCTTGCAGATTTAAGAAAGTTATGTCAGACACTATTTGAAGCATTGCAAGATAAAACTATAGCACTTAATCATCAGAAAAAAACAAATAAGTATTGTTATATTTATACGATTTGGTGTATTTTTAAATGTGTAATATTAAAATTATTTTGCATAGAATATTAGCTAAACGATTGGAAGACTTAGAAAAAAAGATAAAAACAATTAATCAAGGGGAAGCCATTATGTCACCTTCGCTGGTTTTATTGAATGAATGTTCAAATACATCTGATGATACTGATTTTGAAACAAGTTCTATTGATGGTAAGTAAAAACTAAACCATGTGTAATATTATTAAAATACACAGAGGATTAGAAAGTTTGAAGTAACTTATTGTAAATATTTTATTTTTGGTAAAAACAATAATTAAGTAAATCATAGGCATGCGCCTGTACCTATGTCTACTTGTTACTATTTAGTGTTCGTGTACTGTGTTTAGTAATATTTAGATTTTTGATGTACACTTTTCTTAAAATATAATGAGAAATCATTTTCATTATTGGTTTTATTCTTATTGATGTCAATAAAAACAGGATTGCTTTCCAAGTAAAGGGCACTATAATTTGTTCTAGGCTCAACCAAAAATTGCGCCTATGAGTAATAATTTAATAATATTATTAAAAGTCAAAGAGAAAATATATTTTTAATAAGCCTTGAGCCAGATCCACCCTAAATTGTGTATTTTTGCATAAATAAGCATGATAATATGACAGATGATTTCACAATAGTTTTACAATAAATTACTATCACCATTCACCATGTTCACTTATTAGTCATTATAATAGCTATTGAATTTCACTATAATAGTAGGGTTCCGACTTTAGCTTTAAAACCAATTTCTTGATTGATATACCTATGATATTACATGATGATAATTTTTAAATATGATTAACAAGTAGTAACAATATATTTTAATGTACTTATTTTATAAAATATTACTTTTTTTCTTCTATTTTATTTCAGAATCAAACACTTGTCTAATCTCTAAAGAAGATGATTCTATTATTAAAAGTAAGAATTTTTTATATTATTATGTTTATAGCATAATTGAAGTGGCTCACAGAGGTATTTTGAGAGCACATGGAGTTTAAAATAGTTAAATTCTTCTGCTGTCGGTGAGGTTTGAAAGTTATAAAAAATCTAATTTTTACACTCACTGAAAAAATTCCTCTAAATATTTTACTAAACTATTATTTGTTTTCAGATATTAATTTAGATAAGTATCCTAATGAAATGAATACACTACCAAAAAATTTGCAGCAACTTGTAACTGAGGCTATGCAAACAATGACCTTTGATTCATCTACTCCTACCCCTACTAAAGCTTGTCTTAGTTCTGCTTCAGATTAAATATATTATGTAATACTCTATACAATATAATGTTACATTTTTTGTCATTTGTTTTATTGTATACTAAGTGTTATTGTACAAAGAACCTAGTTTACTAGAACTTGATTTTAAGTTTTTAACTATTTATAATTTTTTCAAGATAAAGTTAAATTATCACTGTCACACATTCTATGTTATGTTTGTTATGTTTAATATTGTATATGTCTAAAACCGCAATAGCATCATCGCCATCATGCAGTTTATATATGTCTGTAACGCTTTTTCTAAATTTAAAAAAAATGATATACTTATACACTGACATTTTTAAATATTTGATTCACCAACTTAAAAAATCTACAAAGTATAAACCATTAATAGAATCTAAATAACACTAAGACACAATTGGTGGAAGGATATTTTGCTGTTATAGTGTTAATTTTAGCTGGTACAAAAACATTTATTAAAATATTATTTTATTTTTATTAACCATTTTACATTAGAACCATTGCACTTTTTCTTTACAATAAAATAACAATTGTTTAGTTTAATATCTTTGACACCTGTATAATACTAATTTGTAATATTCATATGTTTTAAATAAGTATACCTATGATTGTTCTATCATTATATTTTTCTTTGTCTACCGGGCCCAGCCAGCGGTACATCTCTTTCTTCCCAAAGTGTAACACCATCACAAGCACATATTTTTTTGTTATTTTCAAATAAGCCAGAAGATCTAGCAATAATACCACAGGCAATTCTGTAACAATAAAACAATATAAATTGATTTGTTGAAATAGAAAAAACTATTGCTAATGATTATTTATAACAGAGGACTTTTAGCCTTTCCACATATGTTGAGTGCAAACGTGCAATCGTACAAAAAAGCCGGCTAGAAACAAGTTTGTTTCGTGCAATGACAAACCCAAATCTATAATTTAAAGTTGTCTACTATAGATATTTTTTTGCATCTTGAGACACTTAGGTTTATTCCTGTTTTAGAGATTATGTTTGGACATTTTCTTTAAACTAACGATTATCAAAACAACAACCAGTTCCTATAACCCATTAAATTATTTGAAATTCTGCATGCAATGTGCCTGAAGGTCGATCAAGTATTTGAGTGTACATTTGTTACTGATTTAGCTATTGTCAAAGTCTTATTAATAGATACTATTTATTAATTAGGACCCACACACTGCAGTGGTAAAAATGCAGCTGAACACCACCGCAGCTGCAGTGTATACCTTAAGTTGCTGAAAATGAAATGTTTGTGCATATTCTTACAGTATATTTTAGGGATTTTAAGTGCATAAGAACTTACATGTTTTGTGTTTTTTTAGGTATATTCTTAGCAGTTTTACAATAGTAAATAATAATGACCAAATACTTCATTTATGTTTTGAATAGTAGAGTAGTCTTTTTATTCAACCACATATTAAATAATTTCTGAAGTGCTATTTTAACATTAAAACATTTTTTCATAGGAAATTCATTTAAAATAAATAATTTATTTAAATTGTTCTTTTATTTAAAAGATTTTAAACTTTACTGTGTACAACATATAATTACTGTTAGGTATGGAAAAATTTTCCTGTCTCGAATTAAACTTTCAGACCAATCAATATCAATATTTATGGTTAACTGATTGACCATTTTATTGAAAATAACAAGAATCAATTTAATACTGAAAATAAATAAATTTAATATTTATTTATTTATTTTTATTTACATTTATTTTAAGCATATGATGTTATAAGTATATTATAAGTGTTGACATATTTTTTGGAATAGAAATATTTAAGTCATATAAAAAAATTTTGGGGGAAAGATTGTAATACCTATGTTCTGTGTCATGATTTCAGATATACTTCAATATATTATATAGTATATTTTAAGTCTTGACTAATGCTTACATTAACTAGCATACAAATAAACAATAACCCCTTCTTACATACCGAAAGTCATAACCTAATTGAAGCAAGTACCTAGGCATCCCAAAAATAATTTTTCAAATAATGTTTGTTTTTTTTTTTTTAACAAATAATTATAGGTAGTTATTCTTAATTTACCTTTTCCCGCTATTTCCATCGATATCTGATGTATTAATTTTGGTTTTACCACAATCATCTTCATTTTCTGTGATACCAACTGATCGACCAATTAAATGTGATACATTTATTAATTTATCTTTAAAGTAAAATATTGCCCTTCCATCTTCATTAGCAGTGATATTTCCTAAATCACCTGTGTGCTGCAACATTAATTAAATGTTAGTGAACAAACTGAATACAAATAATGATAAATGATAAACAGTACCAACCAACTATAGCTAGAGTTCTTGTATGGGTAAATTCATAAAAAAATCAGTCATATCTATATTGATAGTCCCTATGGGCCAAAGCAGAAAACGCGAGTAAAGCTTAAGCTTTATAATAGTGCAAAGTAAATCATAAAAAATATATTCATTTTTATTTTATCATACCCTAAAATTTGGATCATCAGTTTGATTTCCGTGTGGTGTTTGTTTCAAATTAAGATGATTTCCAATTCTGTAAATGAATGACTTAATTAAAAAAAATCAAAATAAATTATTTAAATTGTTCAAACCTATCGCATCCATTAGACAAGTCTCCACATTCATATATATGAATGCCATGATTTCCTGGAGATAATCCATCAATAGTCCCATCCACTATGCATTCATCATTGTTTATCTGAACAAACCGAACAACACCATTTATACCCAATTTACTGTATCCAGTGGATCCACCAAGCATAGCAACAGCTGCGCCCAAGTTTTTGTCAACTACAAAAAAAATTAATTAAGTTGTATAAGATGTATGTAGAATAAAGACTGAACAAGATGATTATTACATGTAGCACTTCCATATCCTTTAAGTACTGCTTTAGCACCAGTTTTTTCAATAGAATTCAAAATAAGGGAAGACGGTTGATTTGTAGTGATAGTAACAATTCCAGTTTCATAAGATATATGAATGTCAGATTTTGAAATTCCATTTTGGCTTAGTTGATCTTGTATTTTAACAGCACATGATGGAGATGTCATTTTAACAGCAAATTCTAGCTATAAGATTAAAAAATAAAAATATAAGTGGATACCCAAAATAATTGTTGAATTATTAACTTAAGGAGAACATTTAATATTTAAATACAAAATATTATGTCAAATTGCTATCAACCAGTATAGATTTTATTAGGTAGAATACCTAATACAACAATATCTAGTTACCTGCATTGTAACAAAAATAAAAGTTAAGTACATCTTACCTTGGCAGACATCTTAGCTTTATTGTATTGTTGTTTTGTTGTATTAAATAATCATAGTATCATACGCATCGGCATCACTAACTTACTGCTTAAATATTTCTAGCATTAACAAGTATTAACCCGAGTGTAAAAGTATTAAGGGTGATGGTGTGTGGTAGATAACAATAAACAAAAACACTGTGTAAAAACTAACTCACAGATAGGCAGACTGTAGGTATGAATTATCGTAAGTATTAAATATTATCTGTTAAGTGGGGTTATTATAGAATACCAACGAATCAAATTTGTGGTTATAATTAATTATGTTTTAACTCTTGAAGGGAATTTCAATGAACAATAAACTGACATGTAAAATCAATGATTGATGAATAAAACTGGTAGCGGTTACTATTAGTGGCTAATGCATAGAATATTAATTTATTAGTTGACAGAACTGTAGAAATACAGCGCGGGCCAACGGAACATTTTTTTATAGCAAAATAGTAAATAGGTCCTAAATTATCACTATATAATATATATATATACCGTGACTGAATAATTTGATAAGATACTGCAGTCTGCACATAGACATATTAATATGTCTATGAGTCTGCAACACGGCTTTAGATAGAATCTAATCTTTAGTTATATCTAATTCTATATAATTCTATCTAAAGCCGTGGTCTGCAACGTGATTTGCGATAATATGAATACACAGGATTTCTAGCGGGAAGGGGTAAAACTGTAAAATGGAGGAATTCCTCCCGGCCCCGGAAATTAAAGAAACAAATATAAATAAAAAGTTGATAGGGAATGTTCACCCAGGGCCGGGTGCGCACCAAAGCAATTCGATCGCACTGGTTGTAACTTGTAGTGCGGAGAGGGCCGCCAGGTTATTGCAATAGGCATGCAGTTGTTGTAGGTCGTGACTATTTTTTTTTCACTGCATTCAGCAATTCAGCATTGGTGTGCGCTCTAACAGTGTCCCCTGTCAAAGTATTGATATAGGTGGTCAAAAATAGCGAGGCCCCCCCAAACCCGGGCCCGTGTTTCTCTCCGAGTATTATGTCTTAACTCTTAAGATGTAGTAAACTTAAAGGTAGTTAACTACCAATAACCATACTATGTACCAGTACCAGGTAGCTATTAACTATACCAGTCTATAGGTAGCCGCCAGCCGGTAGCGGTAGTCACTCGGCGACAGTCGGCGTCTTTATATTTTATCCATGATATAACTAGTTATTATATCATGATTTTATCTACGCTCGGAAAGTGAGTCACTGAGTCGTAATGCGTAAATCGTAATTTGACGACATTTAGTTCAGTACATTGTCCACCAGGAGCGCTAAAAGACCTATTATTATTTACTTCAAATATACATATATATATAGCCGTGTGCCCGTATTCGCTGTATGTACTTAATTTTGTACCCAATACCCATAGATTTAAATCGAATGTACTTATTTAAAAAAACACCTACGTAGAATACCTGAATGCAATTGCATCTATTCTGTGGTGATAATATCTCTTGGACAGTAGGACATCTCAGTATAAATTAGCTTGGAGCCCACACATTTCTTCAAAATTACCGATACAGCAAAGATATCAGCAACTTATAAGTCAATAAGTATAGAAAATAAATCAGCAAACCTCTTTAAGCCGGAGATATTCTCTATAATATATTGTACTATAAGTTATAAGTTATAACAAATTATACAAGATACAACCGTTATTATTCAATGCAGCGCCAGTTTAAGGTAATCCAGTAATTGTGCCAAAGAAAATATAAATAAAATTTGACTTTTCCGAACAAAAATATTTAAAATTATTTCAAACGTCCCCTGTTTCATACGAAAATAAACTCTTAATACAGGCTTTAAGTTCAAGCTAACTCCAATCAAAACTCATATTACCTTATATTTGACCAAATAAAGTTTGTCGGAGCAGTGTGAATTTCTAATTCCAATACAACAATTCTCCTTTCATTGGATCAAACGTGAACCCCCTCTTAATAATAAAAAAATCCCCATATAGCCATGTATATATGTATATAATATAATAATATGTAATATAAATGGGTAAATAAATAAAAGACTCATTAGTATAGGTAATCTTTTGACGTTCATCAATCAACACTATTCATATTCCAGGTATAGCTGTTATTTATGAAATTATATCTTTTATTCCAAATATTTTTTTTTTAATTGTATTTTATAAGTGCACAAACACATTCCAAATGTTAAGAAATTTATTATATTAATTAATACCTAATAGTTTGGATGAGTACGACTATGACAGGGAAATTTCATAATTTAAAAAAAACAATTGGACATTCACTCTGTAGTAAAGTAATTAGAAGGTGTTGAGTAAAATATGCTAAATCTATAGGTAGGTTACGTCATCGAGTAAGTAATTTCATTGAGCGGATATACCTACGCTACGTCAGTGATTACTGATTAGTCTATACTCTATATTTCTTAGGATATTTTTTTTGTACCTATAAGCTATATTAATACTGCTTTTAGTAGTTTTTTATGTATGGTAGGTAGTACCTTTATTATATAACTTGTATACTTTATAGTTTATTAAATTGAAATTCCCATTGGCTAGGGGAAAACCCTAAAATCCTCTCTAAAACACACGATAAATTGATAAATAATATAATTATCAAACATTAATAATCCTTAGCTAGTGTATTTTATTTATACATTTAAATCTAACACAAATACATTAAATTATTTACATTTTGACTGTATGATGTAATAGCTAGCGGTATTTAGTATTTGGCATTGACAAACAATTCCTAAAGAAAATTGTTTTAGTCTTCAATCATTTTGAATTTCAGTGGGCCATCCGGCATGTATATCGGATGTACAGTGTATTCCAAATCACCATACTCGTACTTGACTTCAAAATTCTGAAAAATCTTTGATAAAAAAATTATAATAAGTTATTATGATTTGTTATTTACAGCCAATGTCCGAAAAAATGTATTATGATCACTTCATATACCTTTGAAACAACTGTTTGAAGTTCCAAATCAGCAAATCTACGGCCCAGACACATTCTTTTGCCATAACCAAATGGTAAACTAGCAAACGGATGATGTTTATAACCACTTCCTTTTAACCACCTTTCTGGTAAAAACTGGTCTGGCTGTGAAAAATATTTACTGCTGTTGCTAATAGCGTAATGTTGAAACACGACTTGCACCTATTATTGAATAATAAAATATACAAACACGAATAATTTATATACCTATGTAGGTAATATTATGATGTATTATAAGGTTTTTGGTAATACCAATATATCACAAAATCATAATTTCGTAAAATCCTAATGAACATTTAGTTTGACGGCATTGATCGTTATTCAATCATTCATTCAACACATTAATCTATATTAATAGATGCTACACCGTGAGTGATTATTTGAGTTTAATAGTATAGGTAATGTATAAATATTTGTAAAGATTGTACCCACTTGTCTATAGTTTCATGTAAATATTATGAACTTCATATTATAAGTAGATAGGCATTTAAAATTGTTTTCATAAATATAGAATGTTAACTTTTGAGTACAACTTTTATTATTGATGCAATATACTACATTACTACTTATATAGTAAAATGTTATATAAACTTACTCCTTTTGGAATTTTATATCCACTTATTATTGTCTCCTTGGTCATACAGCGACCATTTCCAATAACCACAGGATACATTCTACAAATAAACGATTTACACGCATTACGTAATCCAGTTTAAAATTCTACCTAATACCTAAATACATAATACTTTTAAAAAAATTAAAAGGGAATATTTCGAACCTCAACGTTTCTTTTATGCATGCTTTTAGATATTGCAACTGTTCAAGTTTGCTGGAAGTTAATTTTGAATCAGCATTTGGTAATACGGTTCGTATTTCTTCTCTAAGCTTCATTTGTTTATCTGGGTGTCGACTTAATTGATAAAGGATCGATGCAAGAGCTGCAGAAGTCTATACATAGTTGAGAATAATTATTCATTAGTAACTAAGTGATGTCAGAGATGACCTTAGTATTACATATAACGTTATCTCACCGTGTCTATGCCAACGATAAACATGTCTAACGACAGTATCTGAGCTAATTTCGGATTTGATGGATCCAAACTAAGCACTCTTTGTAACAAAGATGATTGGCTATCTGGACAAAATGATTTTTGAGATAATAGTTGATCCATTGATCGGTTTATATGTTTGGATGTAACACTATAAAAAAATAATAATAATATAATTGGTTTAATATTGTACACATTCGATTACTTTGAATTTTTAAGTAATAAAATATTAGTAAAGTATATAGTTATATATTATAATGACTGAAAGTGCAAAAGAACATTTATTCAATTCACTTAAAAGTCAAAATACTGTTTTAAAATATTATTATACAGATAATAATTTATGTGACAAAACGATTTTGAGTTTTTTTGTTTAATTAGTACCTGTTCAAAATTATTAAAATTCGCAAATCATTATGTATTTAAAATTTCACAAAATTTTAAATTTTAATACCCAAGTTTTGAAAATGTGATACAACAGCCTGCCGAAGTTGATCTTACAGCATATTTAAAAAAATCACAATTTTATTTAACCAGCATTTTAAGTTCAAACTGTTTAATTCCTTTGATAGGAAATTTGAATCAATTGACCTACCTACGATAATGTATTAAATCCAAACCGACTATGCACTAGAAGAAAGTTTTGTGGTTTGTATGATTTATTTTTAAAATAATGACTGTCTGTCGACATTGACATTCACGAAACCACTTTATTTTTTACTGCTTTTTTTAGTCAAAATATTTATAACTATTACTAACTAAGAAAAACCTAACTAAACTATTAATACCTACTAAGAAAATTTTCTATGGACATAACATAGTATTTATAGAAAAGTAGTTTTCGACATTTTAGAGTTCTAAAAAATATAGTGTGTAGCTATGTAAGGGAACATACTATAATTAATTTGTATTTGTTTTGTCTTTTAGCTAAACTTCCAAGCACCACCCTGATTCTCGCAAATGACACGTCATTGTCGACATATTGTCATTTTTTCTGATTACATACTATTTCATTATGTAAATATGAAGTGTATAATAATTTTAAATATTCATTTTTAGTATAAAATTTAACCCTCACTTGGTAATGGTATCCAACGCTTTTATGTACTTTCTCCAAGTTGGTGTACTAAATAATTTCCAAAATGGTATTTTTAACTCTAACTCCGGGACATTTGCAAAAAACGTGTTGATGGCATCTATTAAATTTTGCGTATCCGAGTCTACTGCGTGTTCATCTTCAAGGCACCCGAGTTTTTGATCTAATGCCACTTTGGCGATAGCTGTAAAAATCAAATAAGTAATAAATTTGTGTATTCATTTTTAAAAGGATAATTTGGTACGCTGTACAACTGGCTTACATTCAAGCGACCATTTATGAATTTCATTTAAAAAGTCATCAGGAACTTCTTGGTCTTTATTTTTTATCTTTTTTATTCTAAACAAAAAATAACATATGTTGGTACTTTATAAATTATTATATATACAAGAACTATATATAAAAACCTATACTTATATACATCAGATCAATAATAACATAATATAGTGACGTAAACAATATTAATGTGGCAATGCAAATCCATAATATAGGTGTAAGTATATGTTACAAGTTATATTGCATTTTAATGATTTTATAATATTTAAATGGAATACAAAGTTTTATCAAATGAAAGAAATAATTTATTGTAAGTAGAATACATAGTGGTCGCGGCTTATTGGATGTACTTTGGTATCAGACTCGATTAACCGAATGAGTTAATAATGTACGGTAGGTCCAAGAATATAAGATATTCATACTACGCATTGTAATAAAAAAATATTTAATTTGGCTATGGATCTACTTGTAGATATTCATTATTATGTATTTATGTATTTATTTATGTATTTTGTATGGTATGTAGTCATTCGTAAAGGCAAAGAAACATACAACGTGTGTAGAAGTTTATTTTTACTAATCAAACATTTTTAGCAGGAAAATGTGGTGTATTTTATATTTGCCTCCCTGAATAAAAAAGGTTGATAATTTTTATACGAATTGTCTCCTGGGGTACCATATAGTTTATCGTAAACGAAAAGGGTCTAGTATAGGTCTAGTATTAGTTGTCTCCCAATGAGTGAGTAATAAATGTATAATGTATTATGTGTACCGTTCGTCCGTTCCTAAACGATTTAAACATTTTGTATAGATATTTATATAATATAGGTATTTATTATTTAATAATAATCTTAATGTAATATATTTTATAATTTTAATTATATTACCACAATTTTTCAAGTTGTGTATATTATTTGTATTATTTGTATAAATGTATATAATATATACAATATTGAATATTTGAATGTATCTAGCTGCCTAAGAATGGTATTTTGAATTATACTATATAGTTCTAAATATATATTTTTAAACAATGATTAACAATTAAATTATTTTCTATAATTTTAGTATGAAGTTCATCTTAAACTTAAAATAAAACCACAATGTTTGCTAAAATAAAATAGAAAAATATCTATATACTTATATCATTTTAATTTATATTATTGTTACTATAAACTTAATTTTTATAATTATTATAACATGATATGTTTTATGTATTATTCATCTATTTACAATTTACATGGTATATTTTACTATGTTAGTGATTTTTATGAACTACCACGGCGCCATTTAATACTATATGGGAGGCTATACTAGTTGTTGAGATTTTTGGAAGGCAATTCTTAAATAATTTTGAATTACCAAATCATCGTAGACAACAGGCAGCTAGTGTATATTAATTTTCTTAATTAATTTAAGGAAATTCGTATATTTTGGGAGGCAACTATAGTGGGTACTAGGTATAGACCGGAAAAATGTACGTATTTTTCACAAATATAAAAAATCACGCCAATGAAATTTACATTAAAAAGGTATAATCGGTGGAAAATATAATCGTTCCTAAAGCCTTATAATACAATAAGATTATCTTATTAACAGTTAGGTACTATATTGTTATATTATAATAAAATATAGGTACTCGTAGAGTATAGTAGGTACATAAATTATACTAATATATCAGTGTGAATTGGTACTGATGTACTGTGTACATTTAATTGTATGAAACTAATAAATAAATGCAGACAGAAGAAATAATATAACCCAAGTCATAAGTGGTTATTAGATATAATAAATTGAGTAGTTTTCTAACCTATTGACAAAGGCTGTTGCCGTATCTTCAATAGTCCCGATGTAAAATTTTGCTGTTCTCGGTTGCAGCATAGGTTGTTGTACTTTAGCTCGGAATTCGTACCATTTTTCACCATGCCTAAAATATAAAATGGGCAAGTACCATTAGTGAAGTCATCCAAAATCTAATACAGGAATTCAAATTCATTATACTGTAGGTAACCTATATATTGTATAGGTTTCTGGTCACGCATTAAAGTATCACTGTATATATTTATTGCCTTATTATAGGTGTTCATAAGTATAGATATTTAATGTGTGTGACGTAAAACTATAGTTTTACGTACTGTCTATATATATATACATAGACAGTACGTAGGTCTCTTAGTTTATTATGTACATACTCTTTGTCTTTTTTTATTATACATTATATGTCGGTGTTCAAATTATAACTTACTATTATTATACAAATATTAAAAAATAATAATTAACAACCTTGACTGATGTACACTTACACTGCTATAACACCGGCCAGATCACCAAAGAAATCCTTCCTTAAAACGTGCTTGTAATAATTTAATGATGGCATAGATGGTCGATGTGGCATGAGCTCTTCATTTCTGAATACTTTTTCGATTTCGTCAGCGTCGTATAGAAACACCATATCCGGCCTCCCGAGCAATTTTTCGATTTTTACAATGTCTCCGTACTCTTTCCATAATCTCAACGACAGTTTGTCTATTTCAGTTACTTTATAGTCACCTATTTATTTATACGACATATCATACTAAATTAAAACTTTATTATTCTAAACATGTTTTTTTAAATATATGCAAAAATATCGAGTGTTTCATATAACATTATACAATTAAGGCTGTTGAAGCATTGTGTATTTTTCGTGGTTTTTGACCAATAAGTGGAAGGTCAATTTACTTCCCGATGTTTGATCACTGCTTTTAATATGTGTATATATTTATTAGCTTTTATTTTAGGTTATGAAGGAAAACATTTTTTGTTGGTATTTTAATTTAACTAGCCTTAAAATCAAAATTATTTTAAAAAATAAAACTATTTTTTTATCATTTCTATATAATATAAATGTATATTAATAGTTAATGTAAACTTTGAGTAAATATTTGCTCTATATATAACCATATAAAAACGTAATAAATACAAATGTTTTGACAAAATTTGAATTGACGTACTACTCGTATTTATAGTATCTCCCTTGAAAATTGTTTTCTCTTTTATGGCAGTTTCTACTGGGTAGTAAATTAATACCTGGGTTTAGGTCCTTAAGGCAATTTAAAGGAACATTTGAATTCTTATAGAATTTTAAGTGATTTTAGCTCTTTCATGCTAACACTCTTAATGTATTCACACAGACATTCCATAAATAATAAACTGCCAATATTTCAAATTGTTTACTTTAACAGCCTTAACACTTTCTTTTTATAATTGTTAAATAATTACAATTCCATAATTTTGTACCAACATAATATTATATTACAAAATAGTATGTTCCATTGTAAGTACTCATGTGTAATGAGATTGGGTATTTTTTTTTCAAATATAAATATATGAAGAAGTACTGAAGCGCCTATAGTAATAACATTATTGTACAGAAAAAAACGTATTGTATTAATAATCATCATAGGTTGATTTTTAGTTTAATAATAAAAAATGTATTAAAAAATATTTCAAAACAATACAGTTTGTTTACTCTGCATCTTGATATTATATTTTATGAATTTATGATTGTTTGATTTAGGTAGTAGGTACCAGGCACCTGGTACTTATCATATTAGTATAATATATTGTAATATACGCTTACCGATATATGACATGAACCTCCAATTATTTCCCAACAACGGTAACGACCTAGGGCCCGGTAGTTCCGAATACTCTTTGGCAAAATCTACATCTCCTTGTAATACGCTCGTAAAAGCTTCAGTCGACTTGTTAGCATGGTCAATTGTAATCCGTAAATTCCTCAACCGTCTGGCCAAAACGGACATATTACTATTTTTATTATTGAACGTCTACGTGACCTGTAAATAAATATTTAAGTGCAATGTGCATATTATATTATTAGTCCGTTGAGTGTATAGCGCATTTATCATTTTTTATTTATAATTTTATTGTACAGCGTGGTTGATGACGACGCGCTGTGATAAAATAAAAAAACATATTTACTCCGGGATGTACCCATACAATAGATGACATCAATATGGATATAATGGTTCTTCTACAGATATATATACCCAACATAGATTGCAGGCCTATAGCGAATCGATTCATTGGTGTTATTATATATGTCGTGGCACACCGTTATAGGAAGGCACCTACCTATATTAGAAACTTTATTTGTCCTAGATTTCATTTCGAATTCTCGTCGCGAACAAATATTGATAAGTTTACGTTTGATTCAACATTAAAAAAGCTGTACTTCTGTACTTTTGAATTTCAATCCGATCGAAAATGTTTTTATATTATGTAGAATATGCGTGTTGTAAGACATAACACCAGATTAGGAATCTTTATTGTTCATTGCCTTAAGAAGTTGGTTCAAACAAATATTAAATATAAAATATATCTGAACAATTTTTAATATCTTAACTAAGGAATTTTTTTAATAAAATAACATTTTTTTTTAAAAAAATTTTAATTAATGCTCAAGTTTTTCTTTGAAATAAAATTGGGAAATAAACAAGGAATATAATATGTCTATGTTATTCTTAGATTTAAGTTTTTGATATTGCAACTGTACATAAATGGTGTATGGATTTGAATTTACACAGTTTTCAAAATTATAAACAAAATATAATATAAAATAATTTATAAAATCAGTAAACCCGATCTGCAACTGTATTGTTTCCCGCATTAATGCATTTATTGAACGTCGATATTATTTGTTCTTTTTATATAATAATATTAAAATTATTTTTTAATTACCTGTTTAATTAGTTGTGCGTATAGTAGTATACATTTTATCCGTGTATGTACAACTATACGACCCGAATAAATAATTTCGACCGCAGTTTATAGTAAATCCATCACGACGGTTTCCGCAACTGGTAACTACACGACAAACACTAAACGCGTATAGTTTGATACTCGTTACAATATAGGTAGGTAGGGTTTTCTCTTTCGTAAATTCGCCGTGGGATGAATTAACTTAAATGTGTATTTCGTAATGTATCTATACCTATACACAAGCTAAGACCCGTCAGTCCGGTTTAGAAATAATGAAATTTGCAGTGAAAGGACGGTATTGCCACGGAGATATTATATAGACACTAATTTCACGATTGTTTATCCCCTGCCCAACGATCCATCCGGATGGACGTATCTGATTATTATAAAAAAAACACGAGTAGTGGTGTACATTTATTCCGGTTCTGGCTTACTTCACACGAATTATTTTTGTTAGTTGGTCTTAAGATATATTTTTGATTCGTTACACATAGTTAAATTTTCATTTATTTTAAACTTGTTTTTGGTTATCTTTCAAGCATAGCTTCGTTCATCAATGTTTTATTCCTTTGTTTTGATTTTAAATAATTTATTATGCTGAAAAAGCTGATATTTTTTAATTTATCGGAATATGAACAGCTTAAGAGGAACTTTCCATAAAATTTGCAAGGTTTTTGATCGTGAAAAAATGTTTTTAGCGACACTTCTAGAAAAAAAGATAAATATTTTTATATGTACCTACATATAGCTCAAAAAGAGTCAACATTTATTGAACATTTGGTGATGAGAGACAGAAAAAAACACATGGTAAAATCAATGCATTCATCGCTCAAATCAGGATCGAAAAAAACAGGGAACTCGTTCTGCTGTATAGTAGATGTCTACAATTATTATTCTGAGCATGGATGCTCTGTTAGTCTATATTTCAAAGGATATCTCGTTAGAGATGGTGTTTCTCATGTCGTTATATTGTTTAAAAAAATTATTTAAGTCAAAAATATAGAATTTCAAAAAAAAACAAAACAAAAAAACCATGTTTCTTTATTTTAACCTAGACATTTGTTTATCCCAATTTAAAAAATATTTTAGTACGCAGAAACGCAGTTGTACCAACAGCAAAACCAACTTAATTTTTTTTAATGGTAACGACTATATTTTTAATAGATTTTGCTTTCACAGAATTTTTTTTTTAAATTTGTCATGGTAAAATTATCAATTTTGGTTTATCAGTTTATTAACCACGGTTCTTTAATTTAGTAAATTATTTATGGTTTAAATGAAAATAATTGGTATAAATTTAATTTACTATTGCTAAATATTTTTCAATTGTTTTTAGTTTTTTTTCTATAAATGTGAGTAATTTTTTTTTGGAGGAGGAGGTAAAAAACTTGAAAATTTTTCAAAATCAGATTTTAAATAACTGCATTATAGTAGAAACAAGAGAGTGAGCGAGTATGCTACCTGTTTATAAAATATTAATAAAATAATATATTATATACATTATACATATAGATATAAGCAATGCGATTAAATAATATATATATTCCAACCAAAACCAAATTTTATTCAATGATTTTAATAATATCAAATATTTAAATTATTATTTTTAAAGTATATTCTGAAAAATCTATCTACAACATTTTTTAATCTTAAAAATTAGCAATAATTGAATTCATTAGCAACTATATCTAGCAATAAATAAACAATGTTAATTTGTTATAAAAATAAAGTACATCGCATTATATATTGTATTTACTTTACATATAATCTAAAATATGAAAAATGACTAAAAAATATCACTTAATGGTACGTACCAAAATTCTTAATACATCCGACTACTATAATAATATGTACTTTATTGAATACCTATACCTATATCTAATTATATGCATCCAGAGTGTAACAGAAATAACTGGCATATGTAATTATTGTCTATTGATTAATCATATTGTATAATGACTTAATCATAATAAATTGAAAACAAAAAGTGATATTTAATTAATAATAATCAAAGGATTAAATAGAACAGTCGTTATTAAATGGTTGGGTAATTAAATTTGTCAGTTATTTCTGTAACGCTCTCTTTAGGCTGCATAGCTTATAATCTGTAGACTATATCAAGATAATTGTTAACGTTACTGAAGTTCTTAAATAGTTGTTTCTTTAATGTCAACCATTTTGTGATTTTAAGATTATCGAAAACAAATTAAAGAAAGAACGGACTGAAAAGATTGCCACCGATAACAACCGGCATAAAAAGAGAAAAAAGAAATCCAAAAACAAACAACAGCAGTCTTTTAAGACTGACAAAGTAAATGATATAAATGGACAACCAACAGATTTCTCGAAAAAATATTGTAATAAAGTTAATCATACCGTACGCAAAGAGAACAAAAAAGAATTGAAAAAGCCAGGTAAAAAAATACACTGCACAAATTAAGTATAGTAATTTAAAAGCTTGACTTTTCAGAATTAACAAACGAAGTTGTCGATGTTAATTTTGGAAAATCCGATATTGGTTTGAGAAAAAATAAAAAATCTCATAATCTCATAGATGTAAAACCACCGAGTTCCACAGAACTGAGAAAGCCATACGTGTTTAAAAAGCGGATAGTTGGTCGATCGAAAAATTATGATTTTATTTGTTACAGTAATCGTTTTAACCATTTACCTGAAAACCACAACTGTATTGAATTTTGTAGTAAACAAGACCAAAAAAAAAATTATCAAAATAATTGTCAACTAAATAATGAAAAATCTAATGATCAACGTGATAAATTAGTTAGAGTAATCACACCTTTAAAAGATTGTGACAATGCAGACCAATGTTCAAATTCGGTTTTTTTTACAACTCAAAATAAAGAAAAATTGTGTGACAGAAATATGAAGTGTCATGATATTAAAACAATGATCATCAATAGAGGGACCAAATATACCACAGGTACTTACCTACATAACGTGGTTTTTAAACAATTATAAACACATGTTTATACGTTATTGCAATTTTATAATTATAATCAATAACTGGTTTTAAATAAAAATAACTACATAATATATTCTAAGTACATATTACGTATCTTTGTATTTTATACTTGACACCCATTTTTTTGCAACTTTTTTTTTATCTTATGTAGTGAAACATTCTGACAATGACGGTGAAGTCAGAATTTGGCAGTTGACCTAAGTTTTAATTTTTAAAGCTATAGTTAATTGAAATTTATAGAATTAGCATATGCATCTGGTGTGGTTACTAGCTTGTTTGGCAATTAAAATCGGAAACATCGCTCGACTTGCTATGTAAAACCCCCTTAGGTGGGTCTAATTGGTTTTTTTTAAAGGCATTATTTTACTTTTATTATAGGGCATTACATTTTCAGCCCTATTTATAAATATAAAATATAATTTATAGTGTTATATTTATTTTAAAACAGATTTTTTTGTTTATTGATATTTAAGATACAAATTGTCAGCATATAAATAATAGTAAAGAAAACTACAAAATGAAAAATTTCAATGATTTCCATGATAAACACAATTGGGATTTTTATAGTCATAATGGCCAAAATACCTACAGTATAAATAATGGATTCTTAAATAAAGCAGAAAATCCCAGAAGAAATAAATATAACAAGTATTTATGATTTTTGAAAAAATGTAATTGAACATGATTAGAGGTACAACTTTTTTAGTAATTTTTGGCATATATAGGAACATTAAACCAATAATAGAATCGTTTCATAAGAACGAATACGATAAAGGTTTAGTTTATATATGTTCTAAGTATACGGAACAGGAATTTGCAAAAAATCAAAAACTAAATTTGGATGTTATGGATATTCATTTAAATCCATTATTCAATTCAACATTTATTAGCACAATAAATCTGCAACAAGAAAATAAACATAATAATAAAAAGGTAATAAAAATAAATTGTATAACAAATAAAAAAATAGGTTTTTTAGTTATTGTCTATGTGTTGGGTTTGTTGATTTTATTATGACGTAGGCCTCTCAGTCATTTTGAACTTAAGTTCGCCATCAGGTGCGTACATGAATGTTACTTTGTATTCCAATGGTTTATGCAAATATTCAAGTTTGTGCGATCGTATCAACTATACAAAATTAAACATAAGTTTTAAAATTATATTAGGTATAATATCGTTCGTATAAGTACACTTTTTGTCAGCGTATAAAACATAATTTATTATAAGTGGATTAAATATAAAAATTAAAAATAGTTATTTGAATAAATAAATTATAATACTATTGTAATATTTATACTATTTTATAATATTATTGTGTAAATTTGAATTACCTTCGCCAAAAAGACTTGCATTTCTAAGTCAGCAAATCTTCTTCCTAGACACATTCTTGGCCCATGTCCGTACGGCAACGAAGCAAATGGGTGAATATAATCTGTTGAATGTTTCAACCACCTTTCAGGTTTAAATTTTTCACAATCCGTTACGTATTCTTCCATATTCCCCGTAACAATAGTTGGAAAAACTAACTGAATCTATTTGAAAAATACACTTTCGTTAGTTCGAATTTTTTAGCACTCAGTATTTTGAAGAAAGTTACCTAATACATTTTTATATAAAAATGTTAATAATGTTAGTTATTAAAAGAAAAATTCAGTATAGTTTATTACATCATCAGTGTTCCCGTGTTCCAATAGTAACAATTAAATTTAAATAATATATATATTTTTTTTAATTGGACTTAAGCCCAGCGACCAAGGCCATTAGCTGTTGTAGGGGTTATGAACTGTAGTAGTGGTAAGGTTGGTACGGTAGATTTGTTTTTACGATTGTTACGGTTGTTACGGTAGGTAGCAAACACGTGTATGTCTGGCAAGGTTTTTTACTAATTTGAACCTGAGTGGTCACCCATCCGAGAGCTAGTAGGTGTGGCCGTTACTTACTCACAGTCGCATTCCGCGACTGCAGGTAGCACCCAATGCGCCAAGCCAAGCCACATAATATATTTTGTTTTTGTTATAACATTAATTTTTTATATAATTTCCATATTATATAGATATCAACTTCTAAATCTAAGATGTCCAAGCAAACTTATAATATTCAAAACTACTCAAAAATGATAAAAAATAATTCCGGTTCATTTTACGATCAAAACAAACAAGAAGATAAAAACGACCCAGGTTATTTAAAATGTGATAAAACTATTGATAATTATTCAGAGGAAAACGTAAATTGGACGAAAAAAATCAATTTATATAAAAATAAAGAAAATATAAAATATTATAATAATGAAAGCAATGAAAATAATTACAATAGTAAAAAATCCATTCATATCAACAATTTAGACATTTTCACTGCATATTTTGATAAAAGTTAGTTTTTATTATAATTTGTTTCATTACAATTTATTACAATTAACACATTTTTATGTTTATAGTTTGGGAAACCGTTACACAAGAATTGTCAGGATACTGAACGATTAATGTTTTTTTTGTTGATTAGTAAAATATTTATTAAATACAACATTTTACAATTGTTTGTTTCATTTAATTTGGATTAGTAGGTATCTAGGTATTTAATTCATTATATACGGTTATGATTCTTAAAGCGATAAACTTACTCCTTTTGGTATTCTGTATCCACATATCACCATATCCTTTTGAAGGGTTCTACCATTACCAATCACAGTTGAATACATTCTGCAATAATCATTTAGTAAGTAAACCGTAAGCATGTTATATAAGTTCAAACAATTTTACCGTAATACTTCTTTGATAAATGCTTTCAAGTAAACCATTTTTTCTAATTTACTCGCGTCAAGCTTATCGTCTTTATTTGGTAAAATTTTCAGTATTTCTTGATGTATTTTTTCTTGTTCTTCCGGTCGTGTGGCTATTTGATAAAGCATTGAGCATACGGCCATCGAAATCTAAACAGCAGTTAATTTTACTGGATATAAGTTTGTTGTATAGTTCTAACTATTATGTATTACTTAAAGGTAAATTATCTATTTAGTAATTTTAATAACTATAAAAATATAAATTACAATATATTTTGACAGCAAAAAAATATGAAATACTTGAATGACCTTACAATTATGTATTTAGAAAGTAGTATTATACAAAACAGAAACATGGAAATCCTTAAAGAGATGAACCTATTTTAAAAAAATATAGCAAGAACACATGGATTATATCACATGCATTTTCAATAACCTAAACATTTATGTATCATTTTAAAATATTTTGTCTGCATCTTTAGTAGTAATGCATTTTAGAAATTATAAAATGTAATGTGTTTCTTCAGAAATACCAATAAAGCAGTAAACCCTGGTAGTTGAGGCGTATTTTTAAATAAAAAAAAATAAAAAAAACAGAAACAGATTTTACATTTTTGCGGTAGGTACCTACTAAGTACTAAGTTATAAGTAATATATAATATGAGAATCAAATATGTTGTTTATTCAAAAAATGCTACGCTGAAATGTTAATCTAAGCATCCAAAAGGTTTTCGATCAAATTATACGTATATACATCATACATGTATCATAATCACTAAATCACTTTCTAAACAAATAGGAATAATACATTTCAAAAACTTATAAATTGTAAGCCTACGAATAATTTTAAGTAACAAAATTAAAAATTATTACATAGCGTAGGTACCCATTTTATTAAAATAAACATACTTTATAATATAAATAAATAAATAAATACAAACCGTATCAATCCCAACTAAAATAAGATCCAACGCCAATATGTAAGCAGTTTTTGGATCAGGTTCATTCGCCAAAATTCTCTCAACCAAAGACAATTCTTTTTCATTCACCGATTGTGATTTATTTTTTAATCTCAACATTGCATCGTCAATGTACTTCATACAAATTCTATTAAAATATTAAAACTGTATTAATACAGATACAATTTGAACAATTTTTTTAGGGTATAAAAATTAATAATTTTTTTTAAAAATAATTTACTTAAACTTCAACGACAAATGTATGTAGCCTACATTATCTTAATATTAGGAAAGATAATATAAACTAATGTATGTTAATCTAAGTATAATATATGCACATATTGACATGTTTTAGAGAATTTATAATTTGTGGCTTAAGTTATATTCTGGAAAAATGTAATGGTTGAGGTCGTGTTCTCTTCGTTAAGTGCTTGGCGAAGTGCTGATAGGGTTGTTGAGAATAATTAATAGTATACACGTTCAATCATAGTATATTTAATATAGACAGTTTATTTTTAGACTACCTACTTTTTTTTGTAATGTAATAATTTTGCATATTTTATCATTTGTGTCGTTGTTAGCTACCCACAAATATAAAATGTGTACCTCAAGTTCTTGGAGTTATAATTTTAAAGTAATTCTTTGAAAATAGACTGAAAAAAATTATTTATAATAGCTCATTATTATCATAACAATTGTGTATGTCAGCGATACAATGTGCCCTACCTACTTTAGTAGACCATTTTTCGGTCTCAGTCAAGAAGCGTTGAACTATAATAATATGTTAGTTACTTATAACATACTAACCGCACTACAACTTTTGGAAATAATTTTTAAAATAATTTAAAGTCAGTGTTTCCCAATAAAGAAATAATTATGAGGATTTATATTTCAACACCCGTCACTAACTGTACTGAGGAAAGATAATTTTTTCATTGAATCGAATAAAAACTTCTTTGCGTTCAAAATTAGGACAAGAAAAATTTAACTCTTTAGTGATTTTGTCGATTGAAAGGGAAATGACATAAGAAATACTATTTGAAGACATCATAATTTAAACTTTTGCAGAAAAAAAGCAAGATGCAAACAAATGAAATAGTTTTTTATTACATTATTTTTTCTCATATGCTTTATTATGTTGCAAAGTAATAATAATTACAATTTTTTTAAGTTGGATTATTTGCTATTGTTTTTAAAAAAAATAATATAATGTAAATTTGATTTGAAGAAATTAGTTCGTTCAAGACACCTAATTGTATACCTATATAAAATAATTACATTAAATTGGTAGAGCAAATTTATTCGAAAACATCATGATCGATCATATTTTAATAAATATTGTATACCTATAGTCTATATTTTTTTAATAGTTTTGTTAAATAAGTATTTAAAATTTTAAAAATACGTTTTCTCTTTAATAAGTTTAACGGGGTGGCAAAATAAAATTAGCCTCGAGGCGGCAAGTGTGTAAATCCGTCTCTGTATAGGTATCTATTGTTTTGACCCATCTCCTATATTATTTCGTCATTGATTTTAATTTAAAAGATTTATTTTTATAAATCATGTAAGCATTTATAGTATAACAATTCGTTGCATACTTACTCAATGAAATAATCCATATTTGAAACATATTTTTTCCAGAGTGTGGATGGCAAGTATCGCCAAAACGGATACTTAAGCTCTAATAAGGCCACGTTGCGGAGTGCGTATTTTGCAGCATCGATTATTTTCTGTGGCTCTGAATTTTTCGGTAAATCCGGGCTGAGACAACCTAGTCTTGCGTCTAATGCCACACGACCGATACATTCTAAAGCCCATTTATGAATTTCATTATCAAAGTCAGCTGGCATTTCAGAATTTTCGTTTTTCATTTCTTGCATTCTATAATTATAGTTCAGGGAAGTATTATAATATAGGAATAATTAACATGAGAAGATATTGTTTTTGAATGTAGATCATATGTGAATGAGTATAGGGTTATTTAGCACTATATAATACGTACCTTTTTATAAAATAGTCAGAAACTTCTTCAATTGGTTGAATATATTTCTTAACAGTTTGTGGTTGCAAGACAGGCTTTTGAACTTTAGTTCTGAATTCTCTCCACGGCTCTCCGTGCCTATAAATAGACAATTTAGATAATAAGACACATATTATGATATATAGTCAATAATTATTTATATTGTGTTGTGTACATATTATATATTTGTTTTAGTTCTAACACTCACACTCCGACGACACCCGGTAGTCTCCCGAAAAATTGTCCTCGAACCTGACTTTTATATTTAACCAAACACGGCATAGAAGGTCTAAATGGTGTATCGCCTTCTTGTCTATACACTTTTTCTATTTCATCAGCATCGTACACAAATAACAAATCCGGTCGACCAACAAGATTGCCCAACTTTGCTATTTTCCCGTATTGTTTATACAGAATGTAGGAAACGTTTGCCAAATCTGATATCTGATATGGGCCTTCAATATAATATATAGTAATTAAAAGTTTGAGCTTGAAAAGTGCAATATTTGAATTCTTACAGTATAATATATACTTATATACAATGATCTATATATTATAATCAGTGTTCAGGGCTCGTAAGTTCAGGCATTTGCATATAAATCTTGTATTGGCGTAGTATAAAATAAACACAATTGTAAGTATAACATTTGGAAATTCATTTCAAGGGGTCAGGCGATACGCATGGAGTTCTATTTTGCATATTATATATCATTGTGTATTTGGAATATTTTGACATAATAATGTATATATTTTATGTTAAAGGAACAATTAATTTTTTTCACCTTTTTAATATATTTCCGGAACCAATTGTATCAATATTTTTAATGACTATAAAAATACAATTTGTATGAAATCTTTAAAAATACGGTCTATATTTTATAGAAAGTATCTATGTGATCAATACCTATAGAACTACTATATTATAATTTACGTTGATAGTACAATTGAATTATTGTTGAAAATATAAATAATCGACCCTTAACTCACAAGTCGTAAGTCAAATAAAAATTATAATAAATAAATTACCTACTGAAGAAAAAAATGTGTTCATTCATACTGTACGAGTTTGGTGTCAAAGAATATCAGGGTAAAATTAAGTTTTCTTGATAAATCAAAACAATTAATTCTATAATTTTAGATTCTGAGTGAAGCGATACTATGGTTTGTTCTTTGTGAGTCTGATGAGTGAAGACACTTTTTAGTAGAAGAAGGCTCAAATCATGAACTTCGACCGAGGTTTCTGAAAACAATCGAATCTATGATCATTAGCTTGTACTTAGGAGAGTCAAAAGTAGAACTTTCTCAGTACTTTTCAAAATGATTAGGGAAAATAGATATTTACTGTATATAGCATATTTGAATTTGTTTTGTAGAAGTATAGTTGTATTCAAATTTAAACTTTTTTTTTATAGCGCATAAAGTTTACGAGCCCTAACTGTTATATAATATATTAAATATTAATATTACCTATGACTGGTAACATTCTCCAAGTGTTTCCTATAATTGGCCATGGCGTGGGTCCTGGGACCTGACTATAGTGTTTGGCTGTGGTAAGATCATTAGTCACTTCTAGGTCTTCGGGTGATCCCGTGGAGACGTGGGGCGAATGTGCAGTAGCTGTCGATCGCCATCTCATTGATTGAATTTGAAACTGACGAATATTTTTCATTGTGAATAACTGTTGACATTGTTATAAATTTCTTTAATGTAAGTATTTAGGTTCTTTCAATTTAAAAAAAAATACAATATGTATACAATGGTGTATTATATTTTGGTACACAGTTAATTAAACTATACCAATAACAACAATAATAATTGTTTAGAAAGTATTGTACCATCATCTATATAATACACAATAGTATCATTGAGTGAACGATATTATATAATTATTTGACATTAATTAAATATTGAACAGTGAAAGGAAGATTCAATGGCGTCCAGTAGAAAATATGTTAACGAGCATCATTATTATAATATGTACCTAGTAGGTATATACGTTCTTTTAAATGTATTGTACCATAGTTTGTACTAAAATTTGTATTAAACTTAATACCAGCGGGTTTCTAAGAAAATCATATTTTAAAATACAAATTAAACGGCAAATAATAGAAATTGTAATATTAATAAATATATCCCAATGGAATATTTTTTCTAAATGTTACAAATATCAAAAAGATATTTTACTAAGCAGAATACTGAATATTTAATATCTACTTTGAAAATCTAAAATATGTTAATTAATTCAAACAATTATTTTTACAGAAAATAAAAAAAATGGACCTGTATCTGTAAATAATAGATATATTACTTTTAATATTTGATTTTCAATATTATAATAAAATTATTATACAATTAAGCGCTTTAGTGGTATTATTGCATATATTATTATAGATAAGTATGGTATCTTACTTTTCAAAGAATATCATTGAAGTCACCTGCAGCAGTAAATATATTATTCGATGAACAATTACGAACGCAGATGGACACTGGGCATCGTTATACTTGTGTACGTTGAACTAGTGAAAGTTCTACATATTTAACTCTTTAGTAGTGTAGCCAACACAAATGTTTATTTGTGGAAAGAAATTAAACAACATAATATGTGATGTTCTATATTTTATTATAATATAATAATTATACTTATATAAAGTTAAAATATTTAGGTAAAAATGTTTGGATTAAGTTAAAATTTAACTTGGACACCATTCGAAATATATTACAATATAGGTGCAGCGATTCATGAACGTACCAATATATATTTTTATAAGTATTAATAAAATACCTGAATACAACTATTAATACATAAACTTTTTTAATAAAACAATCATTTTACTTATTAGTTGTTTTAAATTCAAATTTGTTTGTATCAAGTATTATAATTTATAAAGTACCTACATATAATAATAGTTCTGGTGTATAGACGTATAGTAGGCGTCGGCTGTCGAGTGTACCACTCATTGAGTAGGTTATTGTAAATTTGAATTAATGTATTAAATTTATATATTTTATAATCCTTATTTCATAATATTTATTAAATTAAAACTAAAACTTATTTTTGGTTTAACTATTCGATTTGTCAACATTTCCACTTAAAATGATTAAAAAAAATTTGAGTATCTATGTATATTTTGAAAATTTTTAGGCTGCTATAAGAAAAACGTATAGTTTATAGAGTTTACATTTTTAACTAGAAAAAAATTTTAAAATGTTCTTCAGTTTGACAAAATACAAATGTTGTTAAAATTTGAACTTCAAACACTTATAATATTATAAAAAAATTGTGTGTACCTATATATTTTTGATATCTTTAATTCTCTATAAGTGCGATTTATTAATCATAAAATTGTTAAGCTTTTTGACTGATCTTTTTTTTAAACATTTGTAGAAGACAAGGCGTGATAGGTATGTCCAATTGGTAATTGGGCGGTAATAAGTGTGACCGAGAGTGATTTAAGCCTGATAAACATTGTAATAATAATATATAACACTGCAGACACTACACCACATACGTTATCTGATAAATAAAAATAACTGATTCATTACATCAATTTATCAATCCATTACAGTATGTTCCCCAAACCATTGATATACTTGTTATGTTGATACCATTATCATTTATTAATATGGTTCAATAATTGATAATTATTATAAACGACCACATAAACTATTCGGTTATCATTGACATATAAAATTTTAACATGCACTTATTTCGAAACTCCGAAAAAACTTATTCATTTTGAATAAGTCAACTTAAATCTTACTGCTTAGTACATAATTTGGTCTTAATACGTTTAAATTATAGGCTAAAACAGTATAATTTTATAGAAATATAAATATAGTCTTAAAGACATTTTATCTCTAGCTCATGAAAATGTTCTCCCCGAATTTGGAAATTTTCATATAAGTATACCTATACATTATAATTTATGATTATACAATATGGCAATACAAGATAGAACAATATATAAGTGTAAATTATTAGGTTTAAATATAAACAATTTAGGATTATAGGAAAGCTCACTCTACGAGCGGGCTAAATTTCTGATTTCTTAACGCATTTTAATACAACGCAATAATTCCATGTACAATCAATTTCTTTCACAATAAAAATGACATCAGTTCCGAAGCATAACCGGGATAAATAATAATTGATAGGTAAACAATATAAATCAAACATCAACGTATTGTGACAGTGAGATGATCAATTTTAAAATCAAAATTTATCGAAAGCAAATATCTTTGTTGTTTAATTACGTTATCTACTTAGATCTATATAAAAATATTTCAGAAGAATTTTAATTTTTTTTAATCGAAATATACAATCTATGCCGTAGACATAATAAGAATATGTGCTACAAGTAATTTCACATGTATAGGATGAGGGAAGAAACCACCCAGTGATCGCACTTCCTTTTGATTATTTATATATAGATCTTATGTATAAATTTTACTTTTTGTTTTGTTTTTTTTTTCGTTAATCATTAAGAAGATCTCTACACCTGTTTCTTTTTAGACGCCGTGGTGAGTTTCCAGGAATCGTGTGAGTTGCTAGTCCAGATATAAGAGGGTTTGGGTGAGAGGGCAGTTTATGGAAGAAACGTTTAAAGAACTTTTTGGCTTCTTCGTGTAGAGTTTTAATTTTTAAGTCGGAGTGTATAGCAAAATTTGAAACATAATAGGTGGGGCTTGGTGATGGAGCGAAGGATTTTGTTTTGAGTGATTTGTATTTTAATAAGATTTGATTTCTTGGCATTGCCCCAGAGTTGGAGTCCATATTATGTCCACATAGGCTTTATTGATGATTTGTAAATGAGCAATTTTATATTTAATATAGTATGGTTATTAGTTAATAATGCTTTAAGCAGCCGATTACGCGCGTTTAGGGCGAGTTTTTTTTCTCCTACGTGTAATGCCCAAGTGAGGCGTCGATCAAGGGTTAGCCCTGGATATTTTACCGATTGAGATGAAGAGATAGGTATATCAGCTAAGGAACTTCATGACATGGGGTAAGTGGTAAGTCTAAGTGTAAAGGTAGTATATAGCGATTTTGATTGATTAACTTCAACTCTCCATTTATCGTACCAATTTGACATTAAGTTAAGATGATGTTGAAGATTTAGGCAAGCTGAAATTGGGTCTTCATGTATTGCTATAATTGCCTTGTCATCCGAAAATTCAGCTACTGTTGAGTTTAGAGAGGTAGGTTGATCAGCGGCACATATATTAATATATTATATAGAATTGGTGATAGTAAACCACCCTGGGGAACTCCTGCATTAATGCTTGCAATGTTTGAGTAAGATGAACCAAACCTAACTTGAAAGTGGCGGTCGGTTAAGTATGATTTAATTAACAGGTAGTACGTTGGTGGAAGAAAAAGTTTTAATTTGTATAGCAGCCGTTCGTGCCAGACCCGATCAAACGCCTGAGACACGCAGGAGCAGTATTTTTTTTTTAGGAGAAAAAGTTATGGCGTCCACTAACCTGTGTAGCTAGTGTGTTGTAGATTGGGAGGCACGAAAACCTAATTGAGTGTTAGGAAGTACATTACTGGAGTATGTGCAAGGAAGGATTCTTTTTAAAATTAGTCTTTCGAATAATTTGGCGAAGAAGGGCAGGAGGCTTATTGGTCGACATGATGAAGGTAGATCGGGAGGCATTTTCAGTTTAGGGAAAAGAATGATGATTGAACATTTCCAAAGTAGTGCGAAGTGTGCCAATCTAAGGGCAATGTTAAATATAATTGTTAGTAGAACGATTGCTCTTTTTGGGAGACACCTTCCCACTTCAGCAGTGATTAAGTCATAGCCTGGGGACTTCTTAAGGCTGTATTTCTGTAAAGCAAATTTAACACCATTTGGAGTAAAAGATTTAGAAGAATTTTAAGTATGAAGTTTGAGTATTTTTAATTTTACCAATGTTTTTATTTTTTTTTAGTATACATACTTAATATCACAGAAAAATACAATATTAATATTTTGGTAAGCTTTTGTAAATCAATTTAATTTGTTTAAATTAGTTTTATAATTTATTTATATTTTATATGAATAGTTCATCTTTCATTTAACATCTTACTAGTTAACCACCTATTTACTGTATATAGTATATGGGTAAGTAGTAATTTAGATACTCACCGAATACCCTAGATATATAAAAATATGTATTTTGATGTATCTGTGCCGAATCGTAATTTGTAGCAAACAAGAATTATCACGGAAAAATAATTAATAGGTAAGTAACTCGGTCACATGTTACATTTCATTTTAAAAATATGTACATCAATTTTACCACAGAACAACATGTGATTTAACATATTGTAAATGTTAAAAATGTTCAAAAATAATAAATGATTGATAAATTGATCAAAAATAAGAACAAAAATGAACATATTTTGTAAATGGGATTATTTTTGTGATTCCGTTCGTTCTTGCTGCTGGTTACACTGTACTATACTGATAACGATTGTTTATATTTTTTTTAGGATGAAGAATAATGATAATATAGTTCGAAACTCAAAAACTTAAAAACTAGCCGAGGTACTCATGATTAAAATACCTAGTAATATTATTGCCGTGAACCATAAAGTACAAATGTAGTCACTTGTAAAATTTTCCTGAGATTATTAAAAGTCGAAACGGCGATGAAGTTCTGTTGACATTTTGTTTGAAAATCATTGTCCATAATGGATACTTTGGTAAAAGCCGACGAATCCCAAAACTCTTCCATGCAGCGGGATGGCGACAATAAACTTAAATTATTTGAAAAAATTGTCTATTTTTCTAGCGGGTCGATTGGCGACGAGGTAAGTACCGACTATTATGCACACGGAATTGTTAATTTTGGTGTTTTTAATGTTTTAGGCATTATTGGTGCTCAAAAACAGCAATGCCGAATCAACATGTTTGTTATCTGATTCAGTTACACATTGTATTGTCGGAAAAAATTATGTAGAAGCTGATGTTAGTGCTGCAAGGGAATTATATGATGTTACTACTGTAACCCCAGAATGGATCCGTATGTCTGTGTTGTGCAGTAAACTACTACCGTATCCTTTTATTTTCTGAGTTATTTACAAAGTGAATTTAATTAATTAATGAATAAGTACATTTTACAATTAAGTATGATTTTTAATTTTATTTAAAATTAAATTTTCCCAATCATATTATGTATTATATAGAAATTTGTAGGTAATTAAAATTGTTTAGTTTTACACCATAATAAACATATCAATCAATTTTTAATGAATATGTTCAATTTAGATGATACAAGTACTTGTGTCAATAATTTGTGTCTTTTTCTTAATAATTAATTATAGAACAAAACCATTTAATCCATTTGAAGATAATCTATTTAGTGGAATAAATGTATGTGTATCTCAACAGACTGCAAATGATTGTAAGATCTTATGGGCACTAGTCACCTATAACGGTGGTACTTTCCAACTAACATTGAACCTTAAGAAAACTACTCATTTGGTGGTCACCAAACCATTTGGGGTAATTATTAATTAATAA